GTTTCTTACCTTTCTATTTTATGCTTTGTATATCCTTTTACAATACTAGATATTACTTTGCATTTATTATCATTAATAGTTACTTATTTATGCACTATTCTATTATATTTCATTAGATTGTGTAATACTATCAGAAACGAAGTGACAGGTCACATCTAGTTGCATTTAAAAAAATCATATAGGATATACCGCATAATGGTTATTCTAAATTTGTGGATCCAGCTCAAAAAACAAGCTCTCTAACAAGTTATTAATGATCCCAAATATAGAAATATGTGATTGTTGATTTACCATGTTCAATAATTGTGGTGCCGAATTTAGTAAGGAATTTAATTATTTGTTATGTATTAAATTATCATTATGATGTTAAATAAAGTGATGTGTAATAGTTTTATAAAGTGTTAAATTATTATAGCGACACGTAATTAACTTAAATTGAATGCTGAATATAACATACTGTAGTTTGTATAAATTTTTTCAATAAAGAGAGGTTTCTTTCAATATATAATCCAATTTATTTATTTTTCAACCCACTAATCTTATATTTTATGCAATATTTTGTAAATACAAATATTTATCTTGTATTTTTTTTACCAAAGACAACAATTACAATGCAAATATCAAATAATAAATGAAAGGGAGAGGTCATTATATCACAGGATGAACCCACTAAAACCAAATTGTCGAGACAGGCCTGTATATATAAAAATAAAAAACTTAGGCATAAGCAGAATCAAACCAAGATGCTTCATAGCCTGAATAATGAAATTCTTCTAGTAATTGATAACATTACCTTTAATCTATCCCAGATATATATTGCCTTTAGTATAGCCAAAATTGTTTTTTCTTGTTTGGTTGCTTTTGAGTAAAGTGGGTCAGTTAGTACTTTGGTGAGATGAGCTCATTTGTTCTCTACAAAAACATGCAATCCTTTAGGAAAAAAAATCATTTATGTTTATTTCATTATTATATCTATATATTTTAACAATAAAAATTTTAATGATTTTACTAGCATAGAATCCAATCTGCTACTTGAAAATTGTCTGCTATTGACAATATTTATTACTTGGAAAGGGAATAGAAAAGCATTCCTCTCTGTCCTTCTGTTAGAATATCTTCTAAAAAAAATAAGACCCATCATAATATATTGGCTAAAGACTTACTTATTGAAAGATTACTGAGGGAGGCATCTGCTAGTAATAATTCTATTAACTTACTTGAAGTTCTTCTAGATTTTTTATCTTGTTTATAGTGATATTATTAAGAAAAAGAATAATGTTAAAGAACCATTGGACATTGATACTAATAACAAAAGATTGTGAATTGCTTTTGGGCAGTGGTTAGGTTTAAGGAGATCAAAAGGGCCGCTAAGAAGGAAGCATATACGCGAACACCTCAGACTATTATAGAAAAAACTTCAGCATGCTTATGTTGAGTTGCAAAATTTCTTTGATACGGCTACTATATATAAAAGTCAGAAAGAAAAAACATAGCTTATCATATCAGCACAAAACAATAACAAATCACTAGATAAGCTAGTTCAACTTGAACACATTTTTGAACCTAAATGTATTATGGACCTGGGCCACCGAACCTTAATTCACTTGAAGCAACTCAATAATCCAGATGCTGTTACAACCACATCTAATATTGTAAATTGGTACTATTTCTATTTATTAAAAAATCCTTCACACCGAAGTAAAGAATTTTGAACTAATTTTATTGAACATTTTGGAGCTTATACAAGAAACAATTTACTTCCCTTCACAAGCTTTAACACAGCAAGTACATATAATATTAATCATCATGATTGTGTTAATAAATTACTTCAGGGCCTTAGGAAATTATCAGAAAGTATTAATCAGTTTCTTCAAGAGTATTATGTAGAATTATATATGAAATTAAGTAAATTATCATGGGGTCTATTCGCTTCAAGGGCATTTGGAGTTTTCCCAATAATAGCTATCAACTTTAATACTATTAGTGACTATCATTGGGATGATCATAATGAACCAAATAGTCTGTGTGTTTTAGTTGCACTGGGTGATTTTGAAGGAGAAGAATTATGTTTTCTTAACTTCAAGTAGTTGTACATCTTTGGCCAGGACAAATAGTAGCATTTACATCCTGTCTATTGCTCCATAGAATTTTACAGTTACAAAAGGCATTCAGCATAGTATTGTGTACTTTGTGTATGATACATTCTTTCATAATTTACAGAATTTTGATTCTATATATCTTGAGGCTGGAATTGAGAAAGATAATAGGCCAATAGTTTCTAAGCAGGACTTTAATAATACTCAAGATTTAAACCATCGCAACCAACCTCCCAAACTGAAAGCAAACCAAATACAAATCTCTTTCACTGGCTCTGATCTAGATGAGGATATATAAATATGAATTATTTTATGATTAATATATAAAAATATTATTGTTATTAATACTTTTATAGATTTAGCATATGCTCGACAAGGTTTAAGGGCAGAAGATCTGCTTCCAGATTTATAGCAATATTATTTTGCTTCTACTACTATATACTTATATAATTAAAACTTGTACGTAAATCTGAAATTGATCAAAAATATTGTTGAAACATTATTTGGTTATATAATACAAATATTTATCATTATTAGATAGATATGCCTCATATGCCACGATGCTTGTTAAAAAAATACATGTTTGTTTTCATTCCTTTACTTAGCCTAAAATAATGCGAGCTATATAATAATAGTTTTGAATTTTCCTTATATAAATGTTCTTATTTTTCTGCTTTCTTAAAAAATTTTAAATCCTTTTAAAATTAGATTGTTTTTGTGTTGATAAGATAATTGCTACAACTATTTGTTATGAGTATACTTAGTTATGCAAAAAATTTCATTTCTACTATTGAAGCAATAGAGCCTCTGACTATGTGTGTTGTGAGGTTTAATATACTTATAATTACTGTTTGGTAGCTCAGTACTTTGGTGAAAGTAGTTGTTTGTTCTGCAAAAAATATACAATCTAGTTGCCCTTAATAATATAATTTTCTCAGGTGTAGTTATAGCCTTTCAAGGCAGGCCTAAAATCCAACTATTACCTCCCTACAATTTATTTTTTTTTATGTTTATAAAAACCCAATTTTAGAGGGTGTAATCATTAGTTATAATTGTCTTTGTAGTGAGGAGAGAAAGACCCAATGAGCTTCCTGCGATTTAGTCCACTAAGCTATAAGATGAGAAATAATTTAAATATATCCACCTCATTTTTTATTTATTATACTTCTTCCTAGGATAGTTATGCAAAAAGTTTCATCTTTATTAAGTGATAGGGCCTCTGACTTAATATATTTAATTGATATTTATTCATTACAATATCTTTCGCAAAAATTAAATCCAGAATTAAGGAAGTATTAAGTTAATAAAATCTAATAGGTTCTATAAATCATATAATTGTTAAAAAAAATATAAGTCAAATAATCACTAAATATGTCTAGTTTAGATATTCCTATTATTATGTATTGACAAAAAAGATAAAAGATTATCCAAACCTTTTAATAACCATCCTGGGTATAATATGAAGTATGTTATATTATATTGTCTTAATTGTAGTAAGCAATATGATAAACTCTTTACAACTGAAAGATTATATTATAACTTGTCTATTGTAAGATAAGGAGAAAATCTTATTCAATTGGTAGTGCAAGTTAAAATTGATCTTCAAGATTTGATACTCCAACAAAATTTAGTATATATCACTGATTCTGCTTATTTGCTTCTTATTCTGAAGGTAAGTTAAAAGATTTTAATTACTACTGTCCAAAGTCATTCAAGAGTGGAACCACAATCTGCTTCGGGTATTGGAAGGTAATTCATGTTAATGTTAATTTGAAGCTAAAGAAGCACTATTCCTCAAGAAGTAGATATATGGAAATTCTTGAACCTAGCGACTTAATACAGGAGCATTGGGATCATAACTGCTTTAGACCTAAAACTGATTTTGGTATGCAAGAATTATACAAAAATTTTGGAGGAGTTTTAAAAAAAAGAAGCCATTCAATATACAATTTGCTTGGAACAGCTTAGCAAATAATAATACTTCAGATGATGAGAAATTTCTAGATTTAACTTTACACAAAGTGAAAAATTCCCAGACTCAAGAACAATTTAATCAGTGGCATACTAAATGGATTGAATTATATAAAAACAATTCTATGATGTGCAGTTCCATTATTAATAGACAATATAAAGAATATTATATTCCAGATAATTGAATAGAATGTAAAAGGAGTCAATTGCTAGTTAGATTTCAAAAGCGATTTTTGAAACTTGAAGCATGATAAATATTTATTTGATTTATTTATTATTTGAAGTTTCAATATATCTGATTATTTATACTAATTAACTATTTATTGATAAAATACATAGATATCTGGCTTACATATTTTTGTATATGAGTGTATTTTGCAGGACACAAAAATCCCTATGTAAAGAGTGTGGTAAATTAACATCATCTATATTTGGCGCATGCAGAACTCATGCTAGTAAGTATAGATTTCAAGATCATTATCAGCGGAAAAAGCTGGAGAAGATTGCGCAAAAATCAGAGATGCTTGGAGAAAATAGATAGTGAGTGAGTATACAGACATAGTTCAATCAAGTGTCACAAGTTGTCACGAGTTCGTCTCAAGTAAAAAAATTGGTAGAAAGGTGGGTTCTTGGAAATCTGAGTTCAAAAAAAACTGTTCTCGATGACTGTCACAACTGTCACAAGTTACTTAGGTTAATTTGTTAAGTCCCACCTTTTTTATTTTTTTTTCTATAGGTATACTATACGTATATATCGAAGATAGGTATCAGGTATATATCATAGTAGATATAGTACACATACCATAGTACAATTTACTTATTTTAATCGACAACCAATCAAATTAATTAAATCCATGTGACAACTGTCCTATAGCAAGAGTCTTCAGCCAATAAAAGTATGAATATTTCGGATATATCTCTTTAGTTATAAAGATGAGCTCTGAAGACCAATTTATAGATTTTTATGAACTTTTGGGTGTTAATTATAATAGTGCAAAGGAAGATATCGATAAAGCTTATCGTCGTCAAGCCATAAAATATCATCCAGATAAAAACCCGAACAATATAGAGGAAGGTTCGTCGAGATCTTGTTTTTCTATTCTGATTTTGATTTTGATTTTGATTTTATTCTGACTTATCAAGGATTTATACTACAGCTACAAAAAAATTTCATAAACTCTCAAAGGCATATCAAACTTTAACGGATCCACTAAAAAAGCTAGATTATGATAATACATATAAAGCTCGTATTGCGGCTAAAAAGAAAACCGAAGCTTTGGATCAAAAGCGAAGGCTTATGAAAGAAGGTACCGAGTTTTTTAAAAATATTTTAAGCCGTCGCTATTTCTAATTCACTTATTTTTTTTAAACAGATTTAGAAGAAGGTGAGAGAGCTGCGAAGCAGACAAGAAAAAATGTCTTTACAGAAGAGTCAAAGCAAGCAAAGGTATGAACATAGTAATTAAGTTTATTGTTTATGATAAGACAACTTTTAACATGTATTTTATAGATTGAGCGTTTAAAAGAAGAGACAGCTCGAAGGCGAGAAAAGTTACTTTCTGCGAGGAAAAAATTTAAATGATGAATCAATTAGTGATACTGGCTAATAATGAAAAAAATTGGCTAAAGCTAATTTTAGTCTTAGCGATCAACTTTTCAAAATCGGTTGGTCAATTCCTTATAATGATAATAATTCACGCACAAGCCTTTGATACTTTCTGTGTAAAATCAAATATACTTTATATTATTAGAGATATAGTGTATAAGCGATGTATTCAAATAATAGATTTAGACCAATAAGAAGTGATATAATTTTAATTAACATTAAGGTTTTAATTAGCGCTATATGAACAAACCATAATATGCGCTGTTAATAGTAGGTTATTCCAGGTAGTGGGTGTAGTTTGAAAGTAGTTCGTAAGAGTGGTTAAACAGTATTAAACAAAATATTAAATTTGATTTAGCGTAGTATTGCATAAACTTTATTATTGAAATCTATTAAACTAATTCTAATAATAATAGAAATAATCTATTATATAAACATATTAATTATAGATGGGAATCGGTGAATAGTTTATTATTCGAGCATTGATCGGGAATTTCATTTTTTTTAATTCGGTCAATCATCAAAGTTTTAAGTGATAAGTTAATTAAAAGAAGTTTGCTATTTAACCGGTGTTACTATATCTCAAAACCTACTAAGTAATTATATATATATAGTGGGAATATATACTAAGTAAAAATGTGTAACCTATAATTTGAACTATTTAGCAAAAAACTACGTTACCGGTATATATTTTAATCTATATATACTGTTGAACCCTCCTGTCAAAATCGATAACCTGTCAAATCCGGTAAAAAATTAATCTACCAAGTTCGTTTCCGTTATACGTATAAATCCAATAGTTTTCAAATCTGATACGTAACCTCTCAATAATGACACTAAATCCGTCCACCATGCATGTCGGTTTTGAGAGGTTCAACAGTATATATGTGTTTATTTAACCCTAAAATCTTAATTCTGCAAAAATAATTTACAAAATTCTAAGCTTATAATCATTGACAATTTATGCAATCGTTGCCTTTTGAAGTACGTACGTACGTACTAGAGTTTGGAACCGGTTTTATTTTTCATATGTTAAAACCGGTTCCAAACTCTAGTACGTACCACGAATAAACGTGACAGATTAAATTAAAAATGAAACGAGTGATAGTGTCAAATAGAAACCTCTCATTTCATTACGTATAATCTGACAATAAATAATCATGTAACTATGTAAATATACCGTATATGTATATACACGATAAGTATATATACTGCAATTATTAGGTTGTAATATTAATAACTGATAAATACCTATATATATATATGTATATATCGTTGATCAGCGGATCACGAATTAAACTTTATTACTCTCGGGTTTACTGTTTTTTTGAACTGCTTCTACAAGTTTTTTTAAAACGTCTTTCACATATTTCAGACGATTTTTTTCTGTTGCATGATCACCTCTTAATATCTCAGAAATTGTATATGTGTTAAGTCCACGTGCTTCATCAATATAAGTTATTACCCGACCTTCTTCTGAAAGTATGATCTTTTCATGATCAAAGAAATTTACCTTGAATCACCATTTTATATAAGATATATTATTATATGTGTGTTATAATTTTTATTTGTGAAAAAATAAATATTACAAACCTGCACTAAATAGTTACTTAACCTAAATAGAACAGCATGAGGCGTACGTTTATATTTTGTCAAATATTCCATATTATGAGTTCTATTGTCGTCAACAAATGTGTAAGTAGGGCTTATTTTTGGAAGAACTTCATTCATACTTGGAAGAGCTTCACTCATATAATTGCGGAAATTCTGTAACAGATAAAACTTTTTATTCAAATCTTGCGGGTAATCATTTACTGTATAGGGTTTACGCGTCGGCACTATACAATTTGCTGATGTTTTATTGTAAATATACTCAAAATTGCTAATGATAAGAATATATTTCAATTAGTAATTATAAAAAGACTACAATTTATAAACCAAAATCACATACCACCCGTTGGGAGACATTATCAATGTAGTTTTATCATTGAAATTCACACCAACAGAACCGTCTGTCAACTGGTATCCAAGTCCATACTTATTAGTATAGTCCATCCATTTGCTAATAAACACGAGTGGTGTTGTAGGCGGTTCTAGTAATGAATATTTGTATTAAAATTAAAAAAAAAAAAAAAAAAAAAAACTTAAAAAAAAAGAATATATATTTAGACTACTAACTATCATCGTAAACATGCGGTAATGACTTCTTTCCTTCCGATATTTGATCAAATGCCGTAGATAAAGTATTATATACTGATTCAAGAACGCCGATCCTTGCTTTATCTATTAAGAAAAAAAAAACAACAAATTGATTAAACAATGAAATCACAAGACAAATTATAAAAAGAATCTTACTTGATGAATCTTTTTTAGTGACGCATGAACTACTTGTAGAAGCAGTATTATTATTATTAACAGTAGCATTTGTAGTTACAGAAATAATAGGAGCTTGTGTGGGATTTGTTTCGGTATTTGAAGTCACTTGATTTATTAACTTATTCCCAGGTTTTGATGCCGACGTCTTTACTTCAACCGGATGAGTAGACTTCTTTGCAGTCGAAGTAGAAGTAGAATTCATATTATTTAGATTCGAGCCAACATGGATGACTCGTAGTGGTCGTCTATTGGCAAGTGACAAATTAATGCGAGGTTTTGTAAGTGGTGGAAGCTCGAAACTCGGGGCGATAGTCAGTGCAGATACAGGTATTTCAGCTGGAATAGCTCCTAGCATAAAGAAGTCATTATCCCGAATTTGTTGAATTGTTGGTCGCTTTTCTTAAGTAATAAAGAAAATATTATTAAACTATTAAGATTAAAAATTTTAAACGATGAAAATTTTTTTTATTAAATTTACCAGGTTCCAACGTTAGCATTAAATTAATTAATGCTTTTGCTTCTTTGGAAACGTCGGTAATATTTCCTGGAAAGTCATATTTTAATTCTTTGATTCTCCTATTGGAATAAAGTCAGCTTCAACAATCCGGATTGTGAAAATAATGATATTAACAACATACATATGATTGAAACCAACTTGTATATTTGATCAACTTTTCCATCCGTCTGGAAAGGTGGTCTACCAAACAATAATGTGTACCTGTTTATGGAAATAATAAAAAGTTTATGAAACTTACATTAAAAACGCGTAAAATAAACTTCTTTTTTTTTACATTATAACGCCCAAAGACCACACATCAGCTTCAAAACTATGACCCTTTACTTGGTCGAATAACACTTCTGGTGCGATATAATTTGGAGTACCGCATATCGTTCTATATAAAGAGAATATTAACAAATAAAGTTTTTTAGATCAATATATAAGGTAAAAATCAGTCATACTTTTTCCTGTCACCCTTGCGTTCCAATCGAGCCGCTAACCCAAAATCACCGATCTTGATTTTCATATCTTTGGATAAAAAGAGATTCGCCAACTTGAGATCACGATGAATGACAAAATGCCGATGCATATATTCGCATGCATCAAGGAGTTGGCGCATAAAATAACGAACTTCTGCTTCGGTCAACCGTTGCCTTCTTTTATTCATATAAGCTAAAGTCTGATAATCATGATTAAAAATTTTACTCTTCCTAAGATCTAAAGGTACACGTAATTACGCGACATTTCCATATTTACAGCATATTACACTAATTTACATACTTTATTTTCACAAAGCTCCATAATCATATAAACGAATGAAGAATCTTCAAAGCAATCATAAAATTTGACTATATGCGCGTGATCCATTATTTTATGAATTTGAATCTCACTAAGAAGCTATATAAAAGAAAAGTTAAGATTTATTATAAATGTAAAATAATAATATATTAGTCGAGAGTCATATATTGCACCTTTTCTCTATTTTTGGAACTCCGTAACGATGATTTGGAAACAACTTTTACGGCGAGTATTCTTCCTTCTTTGTCCTCTACTTCATAACATTTTCCAAACCCACCCTTAATGTTATTGATACAACGCGATAATTTTAAACATTTTTTTAAAAAATATCGAGGATAAAAAAAAATATTACAAGTTATTAAGAATTTCACGAACCTCACCGAGTAGCTTGCGTCGTTTATACTCTTGGTTCGGTTTTTTTGGAGGCTTGATTATAGGAGGAGGTTCGAAGGAGCGACTGCTTTGAGTCGAGCTTTTTTTTTCATTATCCATAAGAGTTGTTATTATGGATACTTATTAGGTGAAAATTTTGAGCAAGCAGGTCGGCTTTCTATAATTATTTTTTGACTGGTAGCTTATAAAAAAGTAAACAAAAAGGTTGGATAGATCTAAGATTGAAATTTGGTGTAACAATAATCGAGATCACGAGTAAACCAGTAGCAAAAAAAGGTCATGAATATTGAACAAAATTCTATGTGCGCTATAATATATTAGATATTAGTCAAACTATATAATTATGCATATATCAGTTCATATATCGATACGTATCAGCAGGAAAAATACCAGGAACATAGTGAAACGGAATGTCTGATGAATGATTAGTCGGCGTGATTATAGTAATCCCGTTGCTGACATCCCTACATACCGGTAAATAGCATAGAAACTCGTTCCCGACACTTTCCGAACACATGTGTTACATAATAAAATTGTAGGTGCAACTTTTTTTCGCGTAAATCAAATCGAAAAAATGTCGACTACAGACAAATATAATTTAAAACCAAATTCTTATACGGTATCAGATTTATTATCTAAAATTTCTTCTTTAATAGATACATGTGATTATCAGTTAGCTTTACAATTTGCTAAAAGGGCTTTGAATATGGAAAGTAATAATATTATGGTTTTAGAAGTTTTGGGAATGGTGGAAATAGAATTAGGAATGTTCGATGAAGCTAAAGAGGTATTTAATGGAGATAATGATTTTTAAAAATAGGTTTAATTGAATCTTATTTTTTTTATGCACGAGATATTTAATCATTATTATATTGTCATCAATAAATAGCATTTTTTAAAAGCCATTTCAATAAATCCGAATCAAGGATATTCAAAATATATGTACATGGGTCAATTATGTGAAGGACTAGAAGCTATTAAAAATTTTCAATGTGGTGTTGATTTAATGATTGACGAACATAAATCAACTACTTCCAATAAGTTGTCATCTTCACAAGATTCGCATGAATCTTTAAACCATAAAATTTCTACAGCATTATGTTCAATGAGTGAAATTTATTTGACTGACTGTTGGTAAGCTAATAAAGTTATTAGTGGAAAAAAGAATTATTAGTCTAATAATATTTAAAGTTTCGAATCAGATGCTGAATCGAAATGTGAAGAATATTTAAATAAAGCTTTGGAGATCGATCCAACAAATCCTGAAGTATATCAATTAATAGCTTCAGTTAGGCTTTCTCAGCAAAGAAATGATGAAGCAAAAATTGCTTTGGAAAAAAGTTTAAGCTTATGGATCAATTTGGAACCGGGTATTCCATCAATTCTACCATCTATTTATTCATTGATATATATATATATTATTATTTATTATTATGTTATATACACTTATTAATCTTTACTTCAAAGGTGATCCATCAATACCTTCTTATGATACCCGAATATCGTTAGTAAAATTACTCCTTGAGCTTTCCCAATATGCCCAAGCACTTTCTGTTCTTGAAATTTTGCAAAAAGAAGATGATCAAGTAGTCGAAATATGGTATCTTTATGGATGGTGTTATTATTGTATGGGTCAAGACTCGTTGCAAAATAAGGAAAATCAGGTAGCCTATTGGGAAGATGCCCGTGATTGTTTGATTACTTGTGAAAAGGTATTAAAAAATGGAATATCGATCCTAAAAAAAATCATTGTTACTCTCGATTATTTTTCATAACTGCTAACCTTTTGCCGTTGACGAATGAATCAAACATCCAATTCCCCAAATTCCTCATAAAAACTTAAACATAGTTATACCATAAGACTGAATCAGATGAAGAAAGCATCCTACAACATACACAAGAAATCTTACAAACCATCAATTCCCTGGTAAAGCCATCATCCACATCGGACGACGATGATGACGACCATGAAGATGATGGTGCCGATGAGTGGGAGGATTTCAGTGCTGACGACAGCGATGATTATCATCAAATGGAAATGTAAAAAAAAATAAAGAACGAATACACCAAATATAGGAACAAAAATAATAATAATCTCCGATAATCAAATTCAGAGCAGAACTCAAGTTAGCCTGCTGTGGGTATCCCCTTTTTTCTACTAACAGTTTAACATCAGTCCCACCTTACGCAAGTGTTATTATCGGTTACTGACCATGATAACCATTGCTATTGACCGCCCTAAAAAGATTATCGTTATTGACGGGTGTCTTAAAAGTTTTATACACGGCCCTTTTTTAAATATCCTTATACTTTATATAAAGATCACGATGATTATTCATACAAAGTATACATACATATTGATTGGTATAGATGATCATCGTAATCTCTATTTCTTAAGAATTATTCACCCGGATGAGAAATAAATTATTTCTTTTATTTATATAGCATCTATTAATCAGCGCGAGGTATTCTTAGTAAAAATGTTTTGTGCTTCTAAAACTTTTTTCTAAACTCTAACCCTAACCCTTAAATGCTAACCCTAATATAAATAAAAGTATATATATGTATAATAGGTGTAAAATACTATAGGTGTGTTTTTCTAATTGATTTTATAATATACAGTATATAATGTAAAAAATTCTTAATTTTATAAATTATTAAACCTATTTATTATACAATATTAAGAGATGTTATATAGTTATTGCATACGAAGTATGCAATAACGGTTTTATTTATGATTTACTATCTCAGATTTATGAAATAGTTCAATTATTTTATCATTTAAAAATACCATAAAATAATTGATTTATTTTATAAACTGATCAAAGCATTAAATAAAATACAGTATTATATCAAATAGCATTTTACAGTAGTGTTTTAAAAAATACAGTATCTATTGTATATTCTTAGTTAGTAGATTATATTATAATGTAAACAATAGCTACAGTATAATATATTTTAATACAAATACGATTTTTGCCACAGCTTTAGTTTTTTTGAACCAAAATTTTTTATTCAAAATCCTAAAATGGTCGAAATAATTTAAATTTTTTATCTAAATCAATCGAAATTTTTACTGCCCTTGCTAGTTAGGGATCCGGAAAATTTTGGTTAAAAATTTGTATTAGAAATTACAGCACCACGTAAAAAGCAAGCACCACATTCTACAATCAACCTCTCTATAATCACACATTTGAATAGGACAAGTTTATTATCGTTATATTTAACGTTATTAATAATGATTCGTTTTTAAAAAAATGTACTTACAGTATAAAGAAAATGTGCATATATAGGAGGTGACTATAGAATGTACCATACTTTTCAATCTCAGATTAGTAAAAATAGCAATAAAATAAATTATTTTAGTTAATTGCTTCTGGATCGTTAGGGAATAAGATTCATAGCAAAATTGTTCGTTTACATTTAATCAAGCGATGAAATTGTCCTATTACAATCCGGCTACTGTCATCGGCCAGGGAGGCATGATCGAAGTTACTGTCGCAGATACCGCAGCATATAAAATTAAATTACGAAAGTTCACCGTTTTTTTGATTCTTCAAACCTTTAAAACGGTAAGAGATTGATTATCTGTTTCTAAATGCTGCGGCAGTGACATCGATCAACCCGGCCTTAGCCGCCTGGCTAATTCCTATTACCGCCGGCGACAAATAATTTTTTTGAGGTTTTTTTTATTTGGTTTAAAACATCTTAACATTAACGTTTTTAAAGTTCATATCCTTAAATTCTAAAAATGATATATTAGCACCGTCAACCACCGCAAATAACACGCTAGAATTTCCATCTTTGAATAAACTTCCAAGTGTTGAAAGAACTGGTGGTTGATTTGATTCGGCACTAAAAAAGTTGATTTAATATATTTCAATTATAATAGAATAAAAAAAATTTAATTTATCGAAAAAGAGCCCTCTTTAAATATGCATACCAAGCGACAACTACGCGAAAAGATGGTACGCCAGGATTCTTCTTTTTGTATTTACTACTATCTGATGATTTGTAAACGTGAAAATCTATATTATAAGATTCCTGATCATTATCTGTTGGTAGGTCAACGTCATATCTCTGTATTATTTGTAATTTATTAAAAACTTGCTCTAAATATTATGAATGAATTTTTTAATTATTGTTAACAAAACTTTTGTAAGAAATATCGGCAAAGACATAAAAATGCAAAAATACCATTCTTGATGGATCGTCGGTACTGATCTTGATGGGTTAAAAAAAATTTTATTTGAGTACCATTCTTGACAGGGTTCTAAAAACGAACCCTAATCCTAATTTTTTATATACTTTTCTATAGTAGTATATATTTTAGAGATCCTTTTTTAGAACCCTATCAGGAACGGTATGCAAATCGATTTTTTTTAGTACCGACGATCCATCAAGAATGGTATTTTTGCCATAAAAATGAGTTGAATACCATAAGTATCACATGATTCGGATGTTACTATCGAGTTAATTTCTTCCTCATGTAAATCTGACTGCGGCAAGGAGTTGATAAAGAAATTAAAGAAATTGAATATAAGTTTGGATAATGAAGATATAAAAGTAATACGTGATAAAGATAGCGCAGTATATGAAGATGGAGGTTTTATAATAGTTCCTTGCAATATTTCTTGTGATGATGTAGAAGTTTGTAGCGAATCTTGTGGTATAGGTCTTATAACCGTGTATCCTATTCTTTTTAGATAAGTATATACCTACAAATAATAAAAACTGTCATTACCTATAGATAAAAATTCTCTGCATTCCTACTAACGCATACCTGATATTTCTCAAGGGTCAACCATTCTCGAATTAGCATGGTGTATGCATGTTGTATTGACATTGGCACGTCATCACAATCAATGACCAGAGCACCACGTTCCATCAAGAGCAATGCTTCTTCAGGATATAACCACATTTCACCTTTTATTGAGTGACCCATATTATGGAAATGGTTTCCACGTATTGTGGTAACATGAGCTTTATTAATCGGAGCTGGATGCCATGTCGCTTTGCAAATTTGACGACTGATCGTGTTAGCCACGTGACAACGGTATAATGTCATGTGGTATTCGATATGCTCGATGTTACAGAAAATAAAAAAAATATGAACCTTGACCCACTTCTTTCCTCTTGTAAAAAATTTTGCAAGGTGTTAAGTGATTCAGTTAATAATTCATTTTGTCGAATCGACCCGTCCGGCTCGGAATCTTTTATTCCACGCTTCAAAATTCCACCACCACCACTTTTTCTTAATATTGAAGAATCAAAGTTAATATGAGTATTAAAAAGTAGAAGCTTTCGATAAAATAAAAAAAAGGGCTATTGGTACTTTTCTTTGGTAGCAAAAGTTAAGATATCAAAATCTCCCTCTTGATCAACTGTAGTTTCTTCACAATTTTCACTGACTTCATCCATTTAATATAAGTTATAAAATATCTGGATAAATTTAATAATGTTTTTTATTTTAATTCTACGTACAAACATTTAGAATTAAATTTTAAAATTTTATTAATAAATTTAAATTTTGCTATGCTTATATATTGTAAAGTTTTAAACTATACAACACTAACTCCAATTTTTAGTCACCCGACCATCTATTTCGTCCAATGAGAGACGAACTTTGCATTCATCCAATGGGAACTTGGGAAGAATTAGTAAATCCATGAGGGAAAACTATTACTTGCCGAACTATAGATAACGATAAATCCTGTGACAAGTTTTCCCTTGGCAGCATGTGTTATATTTCCCATGGCTGTATATATTAACGTCGCTACAGATATAGTGTTAGACATTCAAAATTGTTTCTCCTCAATAACAAACTTATACTATTTTTTTTTTGGAGGGCTTGCACTTATTTGCGAAGGAGATACAATTTAAAAAAAAAACTAACAGGAATTTTTAAGGCCTAATAATCGGGATGGCATTTTCTGATTGGTCAGTCATAACACTTAAACTACATACATACGTACGTAAGTGGCATAGATTTGACGCGACCAGAAGGACTATAATTAAGTGTATTTATATAGCGATGTAAAAAATATACAAGACACTTTTAGCATCCTTTAAATCGCGGCCATATTTAATTTTTACGTTATACTTAATTGATTGGATTATCTATTGAATTTTGGTAGTACCGTAAGCCAGTATGTACGTACATACGTACTAAAAAGCGTGATCAAGGCACTCTTTTTTTTGCCATGACTAGCCAACTCCTTTTTATTAATAAGTCCATATAATACGTAAATTCTGAAGTTGGCATAGCAGTGTAAATAAATAAAATTTACTTGTTCTGAGCCTTTTGGTTAGTCCTGCGTGTATAAAAACCAAATTAGGAATACACTCGATTATTTGAAACAAAATAAAATGAATAAATTTTATTACCATACGAGCTTTAAGATTACGAGTAATCACTCTCTCAGGAGTTCTATATACAAAAATATTAATTCATTGACTATTTAAAGCAATGACTTCCTAGTATTTGACTTACATGACATGAACAACAGCGCCCCAACCACTTAAACAATCTCTATCAACGGCATTCAATAACGCTTGCGAGATTGTTTCAAATAAATCTTCTGGCTCCTTTTTATATTAATAAAATTCCAAAGCTTAAATATTGCGATAAACAGAATTCAATTAAACTAGTAATAACGTACCAAATCAGGTTCCCATAAAGATTCGCACATTCCAAACAAGCTGTCAGAAGCTGTTCCAGCCACCACGAAGTCTTTCGATATATCATTACAACCTATCAAATCCATCGTACAGATAAATGGTTGATTATTCTTGTCAAGACCAGCAACCACCGGCTCAACAAAAAAAGGAGAAAACCTATAATTTAAATGCTATTGATCACTTCGATATATTAAATATGGCACAATATAAGAACACCGATGATCTTTACCTTCTTTCATACAATGTTGAAGCTACCATATTTGACAAAGTACTCGGTTCGATTTCACGCTCTTCACGTAGCTTATACATGTTAATTTTGAAACGAAACTTTTCGGATCTATAAAATTGATTTGAAACTTTATCATTTGGAAGGCTATATAAACAATACAGAAAAAAAGAATGGTTGGCAAAATCAAATTACAAAGTTTGGACGTCAGTAGCCAGTCCAGCAAGTCCAATATAACATTTTCCTGTTGCTGGAAATATCTTTTGGAAATCAGTAGATACTGTCATCAATTGGGCACCAAGACGTCTGTCAGCTGCAATGGCCACGCAATTCTTTCCGACCATGGCTACCACGGCCGAACCATTGTATGACATAATACTCTAAAAAGTTGGTGTAATAAAGAAAATCACATCGGTTCATAACATTTCAAGCAATAACTAATACAGTTGAAAGAAGAAAAGAAATTTTACTATATTTACCATTATGACTATTTTTTTTTACTGAAGTCGGTTGAGAGGTAATGTGTTAAAGATCTACTACATGATTGGAAGATCATATTATTTGATAAATTCGAATTTTATTGGTTCAGTCCGCAAAGATCTTCTCAGTTATCGTTATCGGCGCAGTTTCACTAAAATGTTAACGCGTATTCGAAACGCGATGCCCATTATTCGTACATCCTGCTTAAGATGGGAAGTAGCTATCACTCCAAGAATAGTCCCTAAACAACACAGATTTAACATACATCATTTCACCAGGGGTCTCGTCTTTCGCCATGGTTTCGTCATTTCTCCAATGGCTTCGTCTTTTACCAGGGTTTCGTCATTCTGTCAGGATCTCCCTTCTTTCTCTGGTTCTAAGTTTCGTCTTTCGTCATTATCCAAAATAAGCACGTCTAGCAATTATACTAAACCCATTGTTGGACGTTGGTTGCTTTTATCTTCTGGGTTAGTTTTTGGTATAGTTGTACTGGGAGGTCTTACCAGATTAACCGAGAGTGGGCTTTCCATTGTTGAATGGAAACCAATAACTGGTGTTATTCCTCCGATAACATTTTCTCAATGGGAAGAGGAATTTGAAAAATACAAGCAATTTCCAGAATATAAATTGTAGGTTAGTCTTTAAATAATTTATGATTTTATACATATTTGACATTAAATTAATGTATTTGAATTATCAAAGGCTGAATTATAATATATCGTTATCAGACTTTAAATACATCTATTTGATGGAATGGTCACATCGAATGTGGGGACGCATGATCGGACTGATTTTTGTTTTGCCAGCAGTATATTTTGGGTTTCGTGGGTACATGTCAAGACCTATAATTAAAAAAGTTGCGGGCCTAGCTGGATTGCTTGGATTCCAGGTACTATAATGATCCTTAAATGTTATCATAAATAGATTTATTTTTTTGAAGAATTTGATGGGATGTTCAGGGTGTGTTAGGATGGTATATGGTTAAATCCGGATTATCTGAAGAATTATTGTCGACACCGGGTGCCATTCCACGTGTTAGTCATTATTGGCTAGCAGCGCACTTGGGCAGTGCTTTCCTCCTTTATTCAGGGATGCTTCTAACCGGTCTACAGATTTTGCGAGATTCAAAGATAGCTTATGATTTTCCCAAGGTAACATGATAAATATATCATGAAATTATTTCATATAATATTCTTACATAATTTATATACCTATAGGAAGTAGCAAAGATTCTTGCAAACCCTTCTTTAAATAGATTCCGTAGTTTAGCCATTTGTGCAGCCATATTAATATTTTTGACCTCCATGTCTGGTGAGCAATCATTAGGAATTAATATGTAAATTGTATAATATCTTAAATATTTATTTCGATTTAAATAGGCGCTCTGGTGGCCGGCTTGGATGCAGGATTAATTTACAATGAATTTCCATATATGGGAAAAAACATAATCCCTCCCAAGTCTGAACTATTTTCGAAAGTATACGCAAGGTTTGGTGAAACTAGTTTATGGAGAAATTTCTTTGATAATCCAACAACTGTACAATTTGACCACCGAGTATTGGTACGTTTATAAAGTTTTATCATTTTATTAAGGCTATTACATTATTTATTGGTGAATTTAAATTTCAAATTTATAGGCTACAACAACACTGTGTGCGATAACTGCATTGTGGTTATATTCACGTCGACTTACACTTCCACCCAAAGCTCGTTTAGCAATTAATTTTGTTTTCGGAGTAAGTTGCATACAAGTAACTTTGGGAATTAGTACCTTGATTTATATGGTTCCTATTCCGTTAGCATCTGCGCATCAAGCGGGTAGTTTAACACTTTTAACTACTGCATTATATTTGATACACACAATGAAAAGAATTCCGATCAAGATATAACTCTATTATATCATTCACTTTTTATTTGACGTACATACGTACCAATGTGATCACTAGTGAATATTTATCAATTTATAAATAGTTAAAATCTTTTTGATTAACTATTACTTACATACTTTTCCTTTTTTCACCTCGTTTTTCTGTGGCTATATCTTTTTCTTGAATCGTCAAATCTGATAAATTATCATTTTCCACAGATATATTTAGATTTTTTTCGTTCGCTAAATGTAATAAACAAATAAAACAAAATGACACTGATATATCTTTCATTTTTTTCTCTGGATATATATTTTTTAAATTCTTTATAACACTAGTAAAAGTCGATGTTTTAGATCCACTTTCCTGATTTTAATTAATTCGAAAATGATTTAATAAATATAAACATATTTAAAATAAGTGAAACAAATGTATATACCGTAGTGTCAGTCAATGTTTTCCATATGTTTTCTTTTAGTTTTTTTACATCAATTCTTTTAGCAGTTTTGGCATATTTTATATATTCCGGTTTATTTCTTCTCGCCTGTGATACTAAATTATCACCAAATTCCCCTTCTGCAATGTCTTCCTCAAATCCGTCGTCATCGTGCAAAAATGTATCTCCCGTAGTAACCATTGCTAAAGTGAAGAAATGAGATTAGTAACTGTCTATAATTTTCCTTGAATAGTTAAAATTTGAATAGCTCACTCATATCCGGGAAAGATGTGTTTGTTACAGGATCATTATTTTCTTCGGCCCAAAAATTTTCATCTACTTCAATGTCATCAGCTAAAATAATATTTAAGACGATAAAATAAATGTTTAATAAGTATAATTAATCAACATGATTTAATGTTCTTACTTTCGGCAAGTTGTTCTTCGTATCTACGTCTTGCTTTCAACTTTGCGAGAAATTTTATAAACCAGTTTTTAGAAGATTCATACTCTATACATGCCTTTCAACTTTTGAAATATAATAAAATAAATACCATGAATCCAGGTTTTAAGAATAACTGGATCAATTGTTTTGATGAAAAATGAATATCATCGGGAAGTCGATGAGCATGCGGAACATTTTCAGCTAATTTAGGTAAAACGATCGAATTCCCAGCGGAAGCAAAGATAGTTCTTTCATTCAGGTCCTCCGAATCAATAAAATCAATGGAAAAAGGTTCCTTTTTTTTTCGTTCTTTTGGCGCACCATTGACATCACCTGAAAGTTATTATTTATTTACGAGAGGCTGGATGAATATCATAAAACCAAATAAAAATAGAAGCTGACAATAAAATAAGCAATACCTCTGACAACGCGTTTTAATTTCCAGTGTTCTGGACCAGCCCAATTACGTAAAAATGCAGAATCGAAATATTGAAAAGTATCATTTGTATTATTAGCCATGGCCATAACATAATCTTTTTCAGTAATTCTTTCTCTTGGACCACTATCGAATCCTTCAAAAACTCCAGATATGCCGTCATCATCTTCATCACCACCACCACCCTCTTCTCCACTTAAAAAATTATCATCAAAGAAATCTGGATAATTTTCATCGCCGTCTATATCATCAATATTGACATGATCTTCTTGATCCTCGTTATCATCTGATCCTCTACGTGTAAGAAATCCAATGTCGACGGAAAATTCAAATGATTTTAATGATGGACAAATATCTTTAGTGAATATCCTTGAAAGTTCGGGAAAAATTTTAGCTATTTATAAATATATTAAAAAAAGATATCATGTACCATATATTGCAATAAGTATAATCATCAAGAATGACATTAAAATATAACAAAAAGGATGAATATATACACACAACGAAGTTTAGATATATCAATGGTTTGCTCCGGAGAATCTTCTTCCATTGCATCTCTTTCATCATTTTCATTTTCATCAACTTCATCTAAAGTGGCATCACTTGCATCAAATATGATCTTTCCATCGGCATCAATCGACAAATGATTTAACAACAGCCCTTGAGCACCTCCCTCATCAAAATCTGCCGAAGTCTTTTTAAAAAGAGGATCAACAGAAAACTCCAAATCAAATTTCTTTGTAGTTAATTGAGAATAGTCTTTAACTAAAGTTGTAGTGCTGGTTGAAGACTAGAGATCAAAAAATATATATCTATCAATTGACTAAAGTATAATAACACTATTCATATCGGCGGATTTTCGGAATTGGGGTTTCATGGGTTTGTAAACCGAATCCAAAATGTAAACAAAAATAATTTAAGGAGTAAATGACAATAACAATACAAAATTAAATTAAATTTAATTTGTAGCGCTATTTTTAATTACTCCTTAAATTATTTCTATATACATACGGGTTCTTTTTACAAACCCATGTAAACCCAACTCTGAAAATTCGCGATATCTTAAGTAATATTCAGATTACTTTTTTACGAGTAGGTCTCTCATGATCAGCATTATCATCACCATCCGATGGGTTATCATCATCATTATTCTCTATGATTATGTAACAATAATTAATAAAATATTAATCATGATATGATAAAATAAATTAGACAATAAAAAAAAAAGGAATGATAACTAACTGGAGCTATCAGCTAAGCCACTCAATAATTTTCCGGTTTCAGTGGCAACGGAATCAACACGTGATGTATAGATCTTTACACACCCATCCAGTGTACAAGAGGCCTTTTGAAAATTTATTGAATCACCTTCTTTCAATAAACTCATTTCATGAAAATAATCAATTAGCGCGAGTTTCCAACTATTGTTAGCGTTAATTTTCTAATAATATAATTAACAATATTTAGAATCATTTTTACTCACAAGCCTTGCGGAAATTACAGATTGAAAAGTAACGAAAAGTTAATACACTACATTATCGGTGGCCATTTTCATCCATTCTTCGAAATTCAAATACATTTGTTCAACGGGTATCTTTGGAATAGGGGTGGCAGGCTCTATTGACAGAGTACCTACACGTTGAGGAGTAGATGCTTGGCTGCCAGGAATATTTTGGCTTTCAGAACCTGAAGCTACAGCAGACGGAGAGGCGAATAGTAGAGATCTTCGTACAGAATCTACCAAAGATTTTCTTCGCTGACGTATTTCTGATGCATCGTCATTTAAAGGAACAGTGAAATCTCTCTGATTCTTTAGAGGTGAGCCAACTGAATGACGTCGTTTTGGCGTTTCAGCGGATGGCATAGTGAATTATTATGTTGAAAAAAAAGGGTGAGAAAAATAATAGCATATATCGGCGCGTTGTCTATGTACTTACGCGTTTTTGATCACGAGATTTAAGTTAGCCAATCATATGAGACCATCACCGCAACAATAGAGGGCATAATTTGAAAATCGACACTATCTGCTGCGACTGACCCAAATAAAATTATATCAAAATCCTGTCTAAAACATATTTACTGTCGCCAATCAAAATGAAATCGGATTTAAAATGAAACTATTTAACCCCACTTATACGTTTGATTTCGTTATTCCTCGCATATTTTCGAGTTCGCCAGGGCGACCCCCAAAAGTCCGGGCACATGATAAGACGCCACAACCACTGCATAATTTCTTGGAAAAATTGTTGAATCATCTAGCTCCTGCATGCAGCTTTATTGTTGTGAATTTCTTAAAATGAAATATGTAACAAATCGTTATTAAGATATGGCTGTGGCGCGCGGATCATCTGACCGGACTTTTGGGGGTCGCCCTGGCGAACTCCATATTTTCGAATATATTATTGTGATACGTGCATATGTTTTTTAATGTTTTGTACATGCATATCAATGGATTTTCGGATAGATCAAATGAATATCCAAAATTTCCATTATTTCGGTATTTTGACCTTTCATAGACAGACATTCGTCTGCCCGGGCGACTTATTTATACAGTTTAAAGTACTTTTTGAGAACGTAACGTTTCACTAACAAAAAATCACCATTTCAAAAATAATCAGTAACCTCAAGAACTTAGTACTAGTCATATTAACTATACGTAAGCTCTAAATGCTGGAAATGGCCAACAAAAAAAAAAGACGTTATGTAAATCAAAGAACTTCGTTTATACCGTTTAACATGTTATTATAACATACTAATGCTCTATTCTGAATATTATGGAGTTAAACCATTAAGTAAGTTCGGGTTAAGTAGGTCGATAATATGTATATGAGTATTATTGTTTCATTAATTGCATGGGATAAAAGTCGTGTTGTATCTCTGATAAAGAACATGATAATAAAATATGATTAAGTTCATTTTTTCAAAAGATAATTAATAAAGAATAAAGATAGTTTCGCTAATAATTTATTCACGTATTAACTTTAATAGGTTCGAGTTTTTAATAATAAATGGTGAAATTTGGGGGTCTCCTTTCGAAAATATAAACCTACAGCAGGGCCGATGATTTTTTGTGGCGGGATAACATAAATTTTGTGGCGGGATAAGGTAAATTTTGCGATTTTTTGTGGTCAATTTTGAAACGATTTTATGCAATATAAGGTAATTTTTGTGATTTGTTGTGGATCAATTTGAAGCAATTTTGAGTGTTAATTTGAATTTTATAAAATTTTGCGATGACAGATAAATATTTTTTATTTGTACTGTAAAAAGTTCTATATAAAAATATGAAAAAAAAACTATCGCTATAAAAAATCCAAAGTTCTATATAAAAATTTCTATAATAATTCAATCTCGGTTAAAATACATAGATAATTGTTTAAGTGATTCATTATCTAAAAGAGTACTATATAAAAGAAAAGCTACAGTGAATATATGAAATTTGCTGTAAAAGAACTTAATTAATTAAATGAATAATGTTTTATTGAGAAATTTAGATTTTTACAGGACAATCTCCAAAATTCTGGTCAGATTTAGGTCGGAATTTGGCCCTACTAATTCGTAGATTCTATAGTAAAATCATCAGCTGGGCACTTTTCACTTAATGACTAGCAACGATTTTATTAGTAAAATTTTTAGTAACCCTGGGCAAAATTGATAATTTCCGGCCCTACCGACCAGGATTTCGATGCATTCCGACCAGGAATTTTGGAGACCTTCTGTGAAAACAAGTCAATTTATCGAATTTTGTGGAATTTTGTGGCAGAACTACACAAATTTTGTGATTTTCACAAAATTTTGTGATTTTTG